GTTTCAGCTTGCAGCTTGCTTCTAATTTCGAAAATCATACTACAAAAACAAAACTAAACCCATACGACTATTACATAATCACATTCCAAAGTCCAAACAGTCCCGGAATCAAACAGCCCAAACAACTTATAAATAGTCCTAATTATACAGTCGTCTATTATTCATGTAACAGGAAACACATAACTAATATCAAATAGAGTACAAGCATTCTATAGTTTGAATAATAAATCCTCTGGCCATTTCATTTCAGCTTCAATGAGCATACACCAAGATGATTCAGAGTAGTGTACCTGGAATCGAGAATAGCAGAAGAAGAAGAAGAAGAAGAAGAAGAAGAAGAAGAAGAAGAAGAAGAAGAAGAAGAAGAAGAAGAAGAAGAAGAAGAAGAAGAAGAAGANGGAAGAGGAAGAGGAAGAGGAAGAGGAAGAGGAAGAAGAAGAAGAAGAGGAAGGAAGAAGAAGAAGAAGAAGAAGAAGAAGAAGAAGAAGAAGAAGAAGAAGAAGAAGAAAGGAAGGTCAGCAGCAGCAGTAGTATACAATACAACAACACCACAACAAAGAACAGAGCAACAACCAACAGAAATAACACCCAGCACAAGCAGTCCAAAACCCAGGAGTGAAACTAGAAAATACCAAGCAATTCACAGACAGGAACCAAATGTATTCACAAATGAGACAGGAGAGTAGATTTTCTGACTTCTGTTCTTCAGATTCTCACATAAAGACACTCAGAACCTCAATTAAACAATAACAAACAGATTCTGATTTTCAGTAGTAAAGAAGACCTCACTTTTTCAGTATTGAACTCTTAACCTATTGAACTCTTTAGGGTAAAAACTTAGCTTGTATCTCCCTCTTAAAACTCTGAATTTCTCATGTCAAAATCCAGCCTAACCTTCTGAAAAAACTGAAAGAGAAACTGATTTTTTTTTTCTCCCAAAAAACCCAGCCCCTTTTCTGTTTTGAATGACCCTATTTATAACCCAATCCTCATCCCCTTTCCAGCTCTAAGGAGCACTTAGCTCATTAGGAAAGTATTTCTGCCCACTACTACATGTTTTGTTCTCCTTTTAATTCACTTGTTCCCCACTGGAGTATGTCTTTTCCCATTATCCCTTGTCTTTTCCTTATTTAATTGTTCAAACAGGTATGGGCAACATATTTTAATCAATCCCTTTTAAGCTTTTCATACCATTATGTTTTGTTCCCCATTACCAAATGTCTTGTCCCCCACTATGTATTAAACAAAGCCTTATTTTAATATTATTAGTGCTTAGTGGACAGAGCACTCAAATTAATCATTTTTTAAAACTTTAAATCCCAAAATACCCCTGAAACTACTGAAATTACCATTCTACCCCATCAGCTATATCTAATCCTCCTAATCAATTAACCAAACTATAGCAGCTATAACCAATCTTAAGTGAGAAATCCTAACAATTGACTAATTAAACACATGAAACTAACTCCCAATCAACAATATTAGGACAATTCAACAAGGCCAGATTCATATCAGAACAAACTTAACAGAACAAACAAGTATATCCAAATCACTAAACACAATCATTAATTGAACTTAAAACAGTAGGAAAGTCGTCAAACTGTATACACATATAATTTCAACGAATATGCAGTAGGATACTTCACGCGCAAACTTTATCAAAATGAACCCATATTAAAACGAAACCACAAATAGGTCCGTGAATAACATAGATTCAAGGTAAGAGATATGACCTTTACTACTGCACTTTCTTGCTCCGTTACGCACAGTGGAAATGAAACTCCAAAGAAAAAGCAAAAAATCCGTGAACGAGCTATGGCTGACCTTTATGCTAACGATCCGACGTCGAACAATGCTGAACTTCCGATGAAACACAGCTTCATCCATAATACTGTTTCGACGCTTGACTAGCAAACACGGACTCGGACGGAACCTCGACGCATTGCCTCGACGTACGACTAAGCACGACCTCGGATGGCTGGTCTCGTTTTGGACTGGAGGGTGGTTATGGAGAAGGTGAGTCGANGTAAGTGTCGTGGTTAACCTTAACTTAAGGGAATAGGACTTGTTTGTCTATTTGTTACATGTTTTGATATTGGGTACAACGATATGTGAGGTGGCCAATATGCATTGTTGTCGGGTTAAAGCATACGGTCTTGTGATAATGTCAACCACGGCCACGACGGAAACGGAGAGTTCGTAAGGCACGTGGCTAGGACTGTCGAAGCATAGAGAGCTACTCTAAGACCCGAGTTGGGGTGTCATCTAGTTGTCACATCTCCGTACCCTTGTTATTAATGCTTGTTGTACTATGAAGGGATTCCCCTCCTATATAAAGGGGATCCTCCCCATTTTGTAAACTTTGTTGCTTCAGCTACCCCACACGAAAAATACATGAACATTCTTTTTGCTCTCTAGCATACTCTCTTAATATTATTGCTTTCATTTATTGTCTTCATATTTGTTCATCATTCATTGCCCATCATTGGCCATAAAGAGCCTCCAATGATTTTATTATAACTGTTAGTCACACAACAACTGTCTTCAATAGCTCGTAATCAAGCCCCGGGGTCGACTTCGAGGCCCAAAATCGAAAAGCCCGAGGCCCCGAATAACTGTCTTACCAGTTTGAGTTGTCTATGAACCACGTGTAAATTTAACTGTATCGTTTTACGGGTAAACAACACTACACCAGTGTTATAGAGATGCTATATTATACACTTGAAATATAAATTAGAAAGCAAGATGGCATTGAAACTTAATGGCAAAAGGAGGTTGATAAAAAAAATCTGTTAGTTTCGAGGGGCAAATATGAGGCAGTTCACTTATGATAAAGAGTATATTTGGGATTAAAGCTAAAAGGACTAAAGGAGGGCAAATTGATTCTATTTCTCATAGTTGATGGGCAAATATGATATAATTTATTAATGATAAGGACATATTTGAGATTAAATTCAGAGTTTGCTCTATTTCCTATGGTTGAGATACAATTTTTGCCTTTTTTCCATTTTGAAACCAAAATATTCGGATATTTGTCACGTACATAAACACAAGTAGAAAATATCAGATACAATAAAAAGTTAACGAGGCCACATAAAAAGGGTAAGCTTGTCCAATTTTCTGTACTTTCAACCCCACAGGGCCACACGGTGAGAAAAGAATACACACGGTGAGAACTAAAGTAGCGTTTTTCTTGCTAAAACCCCGTTCCTAAGTATCTCCAACTCTAGACTTTTTCTTTCTTCACTCCTCTCTAATATTCCTGAACTGGGTTTAAAATCAAGTGGGTTTGCGTTAACCCGGTAAATCCTTCATTGATTTTTGGTAGACTTAAGTGCCTCTGTTACTTGTGAAGACTAAACAATGGCAGTTAAAATTGGTTATTCGTTTTCCTCTGTTTTCACCTCTCCTTCTTCACCTTTTCAATCCATGAAGACTCGAACGGTATGTATTTTTTTTCGGCTTTTGTTCCTCCTCTTTTCCCCTTTTGATTATTGAAATGCTTTTGGGTCTTTTTATTAATGTTACTGCTTTCCAGTTGCTTCAGTGGAATGCCTACGTTTTGATATCGATTAAATTCCTCGTTCGATTAAAGAATGTTCTTGATATTTGCTTATTGGCTGTAGCAACTGCTTTGGGAGCATGTTCTTGTTGTTACATAGAAATTATGTACTTCCCAGTAGTTGTTAATAGCTGTTTAAAGAGTGGGTGGAGTGGGATTTCAAATGTGTTAAACTCTGAAATTATTAAAACACACTTGAACTTTTGCTTGTCATTTTCCCTTTCTTTTTGTTCTACTTTTTTCCTTTTACATTCCCTTATTTTTTGTCCGTGTGACACATGGTGTTTTGAATCCTTTTATTCCGGATAGTGGAACATCAATGTTTTGGTTTTAATTCTCAAGCCCATAAAACTTCTAATGGAGGTCCTAGCGGACATGAATACAAGAATCATGGTTTTTTTGAATTAAATCCTGTAAATACTAAATTCTATTTGGCGTCATGTACATCTTTGAACTACTCAACGCCTCTTCATTGTCCTTTTTGCGACATATTAAAAAATGAGGCTTAAGCATAGTATTCGGAATCTGAAAGAAAAATTTATACTGTCGGTGTAGGAGCGATACTCTGGAAAATCCATCATTTATTTTGGATTTTTTCGATACCTTGATATTGTAACTGTTGTCGGGATCATGCTTTAACCTTTTTGTACTTTTGCAGTACCTTTTTGGTGCTAAAGATTATAAAATTACCTTACTTTATAAAAATTAGGAATATGAGACCAAAATGATTTATTTATAAAATGAGTTAAAGAAATGGTTGGGCTGAGTTATTGCAATATGCTATAAAATTAAAATGATATTGTTAAGTTCCAATTCAGATAAAACACTTAAACTCATACATTATTTTCCAAGATGGGTTTGACTGATAGTATGCCGTACTCTTCTTTGTTAAAATGAGCATGGTGTCTGGGCCAGCTTGCACGTGACAACTTGACTATATACCTGTTGTGTCCCACCAGCATATGTACCGGTTAACGGACTAAGGCATACTCTGGAAGAGTTTGAATCTTATGAGAAATTTAAAGAGAGAAAGATTCTCTTGAATTGTTGGGTAGTTTAAGAACTTAATAAAGGTTTTGCAATCATAAGTGCCTTAAAGGTAAAAGAGGAAAGGCTGGAATAAGGTCCCATAGATATGGAATACTCTCTTATTCCTTCTTGGATAAAGACTGGAATTGTTCATAAGTGGTCTCCTTGTGACCTGAAACTCACTGATTTGAATGTGATAGACATGGTATTTTGGCATGCAACTGTAGTTTATACCCCGAGTCTTATGCATACCCATATTAGTTATTACTGGGAGCAGTGTGCTGAATTATTCTCAGTCAAATGATGAGATGGTTCTCCTTTTCCTTTTGGGTTATCCTTGAAGCAATCTATTTTTTTTTTTTGATTTGCACCGGGTGTCCGAGTCTCTAAGAGCCCCGACTAATCCCGGGGGTGCACAGGCCCTCGGCAAGGAGTTTCCCGCAAGTGCACCACGGTTAATTCAGGTTTTACCCCGTCCGATAGCCCTCAAAAATTGTTTGCACCCAGTGGGTTTCGAACTTGAGACCTTGAAAGGGAGCAAACCCCAAGGCTCAAGTCAATTGCCACCAGGCCAACCTTGAAGCAATCTATTGAATAAGCATACAAGTTATAAAGTATTTTCTTGATTTTTTTTCTCTAGTACCATTATGCGGTGATCTAAGCAATCTTTGTAGAATGCTTGTTTGATCCATGCTTTACCATCCAGGTGAGTGCAATACCAAGAGTGTTCATGTGGAGATTTGTTCCGGAACGTCTAAGAAATGATAAAGGTAGTTAGTCAAATTGGAAAGTTTGTTTTTAAGATTAAAATTCTTGTTTATGATGCAATTGAGCAGTGGTTTTCCTCTATTATCTGAATTCAGTTTTAAGTTGCATTTCCTTTATCCAAACAAAAAAAGTTTGAGTTGCATTTACTCCCTTGAATCTCTTATTCTCTTTGTAAGATGGAGTAACACCCGGTAAAGCAATGGTGCAGATGTTAGTATTTGGTTCACTTCTTCTGGAAGTAAAATGTTATGCGGTGCTTTGAGACACTTCTTGTCGCCTCTCAACTAATAGCAAGTTCCTCAAAGTGAATGTTAAAGTTCTGCAGAATGACTTGCCATAACTTTGTTATCTTCCATTTTTCTTTTCTTTTTTCCCCCATTGCTTTGGCTGTCTTCTGCCTTTGCAAGTTGTTAGGTCACACCACTTTGTGCCTGAAAAGCTAAAGGTGCTGAGAAGTTCTAGTAGGAGACAGTTCAGTTTCTTTGCTGCCGCAGAAGACCAATTAGCCGACAGTGAGCTTGAGGAAGATGATTCCGAGCAAGAAAGTGAACATCCTGGTGATGAATTTGTTGCCTCTGTCAGTAGTTCAAACGTCCACATGGAAGGTGCTGGTGGTAAGCCTGGCGTACTATCATTCTACAATCGTCCTTACAGAAGGGAGGAGGAAATCCTTGTGCCTGCTGCTGAAAAGAACCAGAACATTCTACTGTGGTTTGTTGGTCCAGCTGTTCTTGTAGCCTCTTTCATCTTTCCCTCGCTTTACTTGCGCAGGATATTATCAACTATATTTGAGGACTCTTTGTTAACTGGTATGCAAAACTTGTGCTATAACATGTTTCTGGCATAGTTATATCTGTTTCATTTAGTTTATCCTGCTTAAACCCTCCAAAAAGGCCTTAAGAAAAAATAAATAAAAAAGGTATCATGATCCTTCTGATTACAACAACAACAACAACAACAACAACAACAACAACAACAACAACCCAGTATAATCCCACTTAGTGGGGTCTGGGGAGGGTAGTGTGTACGCAGACCTTACCCCTACCCTGGGGTAGAGAGGCTGTTTCCAAATAGACCCCCGGCATCCTTCCCTCCAAGAACTTCCCACCTTGCTCTTGGGGAGACTCGAACTCACAGCCTCTTGGTTGGAAGTGGAGGTTGCTTACCATCAGAGCAACCCCTCTTCTGATTGCAGCATCATATTTTTTTTGGCAGTAGAATAACAAATGAAATAAACACTCATCCAAAATATGTTTGCAGGTTAATCTCATTTTTATTGTCCTTTAAGTTGAAGCAACAACAACAATATACCCAGTGTAGTCCCACAAGTGGGGTTGGGGAGGGTAGTGAAGTGAGTACGCAGCGTTACCCCTACCTTTATGCAGGTAGAGAGGTTGTTTCCAATTGTCCTTTAAGTTGAAGCTTACATAGTATTTGATAAATGGAAATCTTCTGAAGCTTGTATAAGCATTCTTCATAATTTTTTCTATCAAGCATAAATTGTTTGGTATTCCATGAGCTTGTTCTCGCTTCATTTTTCTTATTCTTTCCTTCTCCAAAACAAAAATACTCTGTCCGACCACAAGTACGTGGCCGTTGTTAACCATCAGGTCCTTAGAACTTCTGCAAAATATTGATGTATGGATTCTGGAGAAGTGCCTGCAACTTAAAGAAACTAGCCATATCTGCACTAAATTTTGCATCGTGGAGGATCATGTGTTAATACTAGTAGGATATCTTGTGTCCACCAAACACAATATCTGTGTCAAAATCAGGTGTTTGTTGTGTGACTGAAATATCAATCATCTTTGCCTTGTTGTTATTTAATCATTCATGCTACAGTTTCCTTTTTTAAGTTTTATTGCAAGTCTCAAGTCATTGCACTTTCGCTAAATAAACTGTGCTCTCGACCTGCAGATTTCCTCATCTTGTTCTTCACAGAGGCTCTGTTTTACTGTGGAGTAGCAGTGTTTCTTCTTCTAATAGATCGTCTAAGGAGACCGCTTGAGCTAGTATCTTCTGACAGGAAAATTATCCCACCACTCGGATATAGAATATCTTCAATTGCTGTACTGGCACTTAGTCTAATAATTCCAATGGTGACCATGGGGTTTGTTTGGCCATGGACTGGTCCTGCTGCTTCTGCTACTCTCGCCCCCTACCTTGTTGGTATAGTTGTTCAATTTGCTTTTGAGCAGTACGCAAGATATATTGACTCACCTTCATGGTCTGTTATCCCCATTATCTTTCAGGTAAGGACTAAATCGAATCGGTAATTTCACTGGAATGTTTATAGAGAGAGAAAACATTGAGCACTGACCACTGTGATTTTTGTTGTATTGTGGCCCCATTAGCTGCAACTCTGAAATGTCATCAGGAATAGGGCCGCCCTCCCCCAAAACCCTCCATTGTGTTTCATTGAATTTTTTTTGCAGTTCTTCGAACTTAGCCTTTTAGAGTCTAGACGTTTAAACCCTTTCAAATATTTCAAATTTCCTATAAAAACTATCTTTTTTACTGCCTTTAAAACACTCCGCTAGATCCGTGGATGACAATTTTCATTTTCAAGCTTTACTATGTTGACTCATTGAACTCTATTCAAACTTTTATTACCCATGTATACTTTCGTTGTTTTAATGGAAAATCCAGTTAAGCCGACTACACCAGTAATAGAAGTTTCAGTTTTGCTCCTGAATGTCGTACTTGTACCTTTTCCATAATCTCATACTTGTATATTTACTTGGAGGTCACACTTGTATCTTTTCTATTTAGGTTGTTTCTGATAACCATTCTGTTTTCTTCGCGAAATAACTTCACCGTATGTCTGTCCAAAAGGATGGATACTTTATCCAATATTCAGTAAGGTGATTGTTTGACGTCATATTGCTTCCAAGTCGTCTTGAAAGAATCTTATGCTCACCTTTCTGATTGAATATTCTAACACTTATGAAAGCAAGTTTTATGGTAGTTGATGAGGTCACTTTATCCTTCTTTGGCACAATTTCACAGGTCTACAGGTTGCATCAACTGAATAGGGCAGCGCAACTGGTAACAGCCCTTTCTTTGACAGTAAGAGGAGCAGAGATGACTGCCCAGAACTTGGCAATAAATGGCTCACTGAGCACACTTTTAAATGTCCTTCAATTCCTTGGGGTGATATGTATTTGGTCCCTTTCTAGCTTCATCATGAGATTTTTCCCATCTGCTACTATGGCTGAGGGGTAAGACATGGTTCTGCTACAATCTGGTCCACACTAAATACTCCGGAATAGTCAAAGTTCTGGTTGCTTGTTTGCAAGTGCCACATGTCTTTTGTGGTTGCTGTGGTTATTTCTGCAGGTGGTCCTTGTTGTTGTAGACTTGATCTTTGTTGAATCTGAAAGAACATGACTACCGAAGCCTTAATCGCTCTCCAACATATATCACCTTCGCAGAAAATTCTTTGCAAATGAAGGACTGCAAGGTATAGGGCTACTGATCATCATGTCACCTTTTATGTATTTGGTTCAATAGGCTGTGTATTTTGGCATTACCAGGTGGAATACTCGACTCACCAAGGAATTTTACGTTGGTGGATATTTTATGAAATTAGAGGGCAAGTAGGTATCCATGTCAGTGTAAAGACGGACCAAATGTGAAGTTGATTTGTTTTCATTTATTTGTGTTTTTCTTTAGCAGGAATCTTCACAAATACTATGCCACACCCTTAGGCCTTCAATAATCCAAAGTTGATAAGTGGAGCATCCCCTGATTATATATACTACCGGTACTTGCTTCGGTTATATTTTTTTCGGGTTGTTATTACTGTTTCTCTTTTCGTAGTTTTTTGTCATAATTGTTGTGATTTTGCTTTTATTGAGTTAGATGATCTACCAAAAACAGCTTCTCTGTCTTAACAACATAGGTAGGATTAAGATCTACGTACATACTACCCTTTCTAGATCACATTTGTGGGAATAAACTCGGTATGTTGTTATTGTATACTACCGATACTACAATATTAGGACATGGTGAAGAAATAAAGGAAGACAAAATAGCAATTTATTTTGTGATGACCCCTCAACTTTTGGTGTCGGTCATGAAAAAATCTCGAAAATAAACATTTCCTCTACTAGGAGGGTTCTAATATCAAAATATGATGGAAAGCTTGTTCTTGTTTGGTTCATAATTCGAAATTATTTATGATAATTTCACAAACCTCCCTTGAGGTTTTGCCTTGTAACACATACTTCCTCTATGACTTCAAATATTACACAACCCTCCATTTAATGATGTTAAATGTTATAAAATCATATTGTAGCTTACATATATGGACGTGTTTGCCCTCTATATGTATTCATAATTTCATATATAATACAAGTTTTAATGTACTTTGCAGTGTTTACATTTAAATTAAATAATATTAAATTTTAATTATAGTCTTTCATATTAAATATATAAATTATTTATTTTGGTAAATATTGTTAACTGTAAGTGAATTTTTATATATGTGTTATTGGTAATTTGATAATCAAAAATACTTTTTGAAAAAGTTGGTCATATACAAATTGCTGCTTTAATATCGATAGAACCGCTTCTCAATTGGCCAAACAATAGTTGTTACTCTTACACCTTTTAAAAAACTAGTCTTTTTGTGCATTGCACGTGTATTCCATCTCTTTATATATATGTGTGTGTGTCAAAAAAATATATTTGCTGTCGTTATAAATTTTAAATATAAATATATTAAAATCTGGCATTCTCGAATAAACTTACCTTTTGTAACTAAAGTCAAAAGGCATATTCTACTACCAAGTCTATCTTCGTTCTTCTAGTCATCAAGCTATAAATTAAACCTAGTATATATTATGAAATTTGATTACTCCAATAGACGAAGTTGGAAGTAGCATCCTTTAATCAACTTTATCTTCTCTATATCTTTCATGCATAACAATATTAATTGTGCCTTGGTATGTCTTTTCAAGTTTAATTGCCTTTCTCTAGAATATTCAAGCTTCGCCTTTTCTATTTTAATGTACATAACATGCACAAAATTTATATCTTTATCAAATACACATATAAGTAATATTTATTTAAGCATCGATAAGTATTAGATTTCAAATCTCATCAATGAATATGAAAGATTGAATTGCATATTATTAAAATTCAGTAACAAAATTAAGGGAAAGGTCTATATATCCCATGCACCATTCTAAATTATTCGATTTCTTATTTGATATCTTCCTCGTGTTATCAGGTTCTTTTCTTTTCATTAGCCTTATCACAAACAAGGAACTCTCCCTCCTCTCCCCATTTAGCTAAATGTGATTTAGATAGAAACAATATAAAGTTATAAACTCAACAAAGAAACATTTATAAGATGTGAAAATAAATTAAAGAGAATTTAGATAAAGAGGAAAAGGTAGAAGGAATTGATATATTTATCAAAATGATTGAGTTTAGTGTTGCTTTGCACCTGTACTTTCCTGAAAATAAATATATATTACCAAATTTGAAGAAGCATATTGCCTATGTAACTTGAGGAATGTAATAAACTAATAAACAATAAAATGGGAACTCACAAAATTAACTATTGGTACACAAATACATATAAGATCTTATCTGCAAGAGTGTAAGTACATAATAACAAAGTTATGAGTAATATGGCAACAATTTTATCGGACATCCATATTTTTAATTATTTATTTTACGAAAGATTTTACTGAAAAATATTTTTATACTTCATTAGACTTGGCTTGTACTCTTATTTCACTTGAAGAAGTTTGGGATACATATTAGAAATAAAGTTGGAGAAGAAATAGTCAAATGTAAATGATCCATTGTCCATCTACTCACATGCACTAAACATAAATATTCTAATTAATTGTAACTTTTTGTTATTTTTGATATATGCAGTTGTTGTTTGGTTTTATTTTGAACTACTTATGCACTAATTTGAAACATAAACTCGTAAATTTCTGTAATAAGCTAAATTTCTTCTTCTTCTCTTTCTCTTTTTTTTTTATCCGCAACAAAATAAGTACGCAATCACAAATATCACAACCAAGTTTTAGAAATCAAGGGAAACTCAAATACTCAAATATTTAATGTAATTATCTATGGGTATATACAAGTCTAAGAGAGAAAATATCATCAAAATATTTTGCAAGGTGAAAGCTAAAAAATCAAAAAAATGGAAGGAGACATAGAATAATTTTTTTTAAGAGACTTAGATATTGAAAAAGTAAAAGAGTAATATTTAAGAGACTTAAACATATTGCATTTGTAATTTCCTCCTCTCAAAAATAAAATTATATATTAGAAAACTTTAACAATACAAAATTGACTTACATTTTGCTAGCTTTACAAGCTTCTGCGAGGTTTGATGTATTCCAAAGTTAAATTTTGAAGTTCGACCACTTTATTTTGAATGCGTACCGTAGGCATATAAATTTTATTAAAATTAAATTCATAAAATAATTTGGACTATATTTTAAATTCAAGATATATTGGTCCAAATAAATATTATGGGCTAATATAATTGAATTAATTATATAAGTCCAATACATATGGGTTAAATAAATAAGTCTTAATCCATTGGGCTAGCCATTTAATTTGGCTAAAGTGATGAGCCCACTTCATCAAGCCCAAGATGTCATCTTCCTAGAGGCCCAGTTTGGTGTCACGTGTCAATTGACGTGGCGCGCCAAGTCAAGCTGAAGAGCCAATAGGACCATGCCATGTGTCAAAATGACAAGGCATGCCAAGTCACATTAAAAAGGCTAATGAAATCGCACCACGTGTGCAAGTGACATGTTCTGACCAATCAAATGCGGCCATGTCACACTTCAATTTGATTGGTCGGAAAGAGTTTGTTCTTCACAACTCCTCCTTTCCACAACTATAAATAGGGGTCTTCATAACTCAGAAAAGACATCAGAAGTTATAACAAAAGCAAGAAAGAGCTCGTGGATCAAATACTGTAAATTTCTCCACAAGTTTCAAGCTTCAAGCAATCAAGTTCAAGCTCAAGAACGAAGAACAAATCAAGTTCAAGCTCAAGAACGAAGAACAAATCAAGTTCAAGCTCAAACAATCAAGCTAAAGCTCAAGAACAAGTTCATCGTTCGTGGCGACAACTACATATTCAAGATCAAGCTCCAAGGCCCTTGAATTTATTTACTATTAAAAAGAAGAATTAGAGGATTCATAGAGATTGTACACTTAAATATTCGAAATAAAATATTACGATTGTTGCAATATTTTTTGGTCTTGATTTTATTTTCTCGACGCAATTTATTGTCTACAAATTCTGGCACGCCCAGTGGGACAATCTCTACCTCTCATCTCAACTCATCAATCACCAAATTCCAAGAAAAATGAAACGGCTTCAAAGAAAATCAACTCCGGTTCAACTTCCACCAAGGCTGCTAACTCTAGGTTCTATGCTGATGTGGAAAGCATCCTCGATGTCACCTTCAGAAGCTTCAGACCAATTAAAGGAGCAAAGCAAGCTCTTTAGGACAACAAGCACCCCAAGTGCCGTTCGCATCAACCCCTGTTTTCAGATCTTTATCCTCAAAAGGAGCAAGATCTTCCACAAACGCATCTGAAGGAGGAAGCAATGTTGCTGAAAAGATCAAGAAAACTCTTGTTCTGCTTGACCTCTCTGGATCCAGGCACTCTACTGTGAAGGAAGATAATGATGCTTCAAGTGATGGATTTTTCCCACTTATACCACATAACGTGAGCCAATCAAGGATCAATCTGTGTGAAAATCCATGCTACTCTCCGTCGTCCACGACAATTATGCAAGCCATGGTGACAAACACTTCATCTATGGAGGAGCGGTTGGCAAACATGACGGAAGTAATCGCTGGCTTGACAAAATGCATGAAAAATCAAGAGGCTATAATTAACAAACTAACAGACAGAGTAGGAATCTTGATGGAAGAAGAATCCACCCATGCACCCGGTAAGCTCCCAGAGGTTCTAGAGAATGATTCTCCCCCAAGACAAGCAACATATACTAAGGCTATCCCTGTCTTATCTGAAGGGATGATTCCAATCGATCAATTGAAAGAGTTCATTGAAGGAACCATTAAGAACAAATATGAAGTTGCTGCCAAATCCTCCCTAACATAAGCAAAGTCGTACACTGCAAGGGTCGATATATTGAAGATGTCTGCTGGCTATCAACCTCCGAAATTTCAATAGTTTGATGGTAAAGGTAACCTAAAGCAACATGTTGCGCACTTCGTGGAGACGTGCAACAATGCTGGGACTTATGGAGATTACCTCATCAAGCAGTTTGTCCGCTCGCTAAAAGGAAATGCTTTTGACTGGTACACGGACCTCAAGGCTAGATCTATCAATAATTGGGATCAACTAGAGCAAGAGTTCCTCAATCACTTTTATAGTACGAGACGTACTGTGAGTATGATAGAACTTACAAATACTCGTCAACAAAAGGGGGAACCAGTTATCGACTTTATCAATCGGTGGAGGAATTCAAGCCTCAACTGCAAAGACAGGCTTAGTGAAGCTTCGAGCATAGAGATGTGTATCCAAGGCATGCATTGGGGATTGCGCTACATCTTGCAAGGTATCAAGCCTAGCACATTTGAAGAACTTGCAACTCGTGCCCATGACATGGAATTGAGCATGGCCTCCGCTAGAAATGAAAGGCTGCCCATCTATGAACCTCGCAAAGGGAATGACAAGCAAGAAGTGAGGAAATGGGGCAAGTTCGTACCCAAATCTGAAAGCAAAGAAGCTATGAATGTCAACACGTCACCTATGAAG